TATATATATATATATATATATATATATATATATATATATATACTGTATATATCAATGTGTGCGGTGGTGTTCTGAAATGAGGTGTCAAAGTCCTCAGTTTTATTTTTATTTATTTAAAATCAAATGTAAATTCATGTTGCTGTCACTATCAGAAACAATTCTATTTTATATTTTTACATTAACAATGTAATCAACATTCTATTTATTAAAGCCAAGTAGGAATCTCAAGTTATTGTTTTTTATCATTTTACATTTATTCCAAAATAATAACTCAAGGCAGTAACAATTTAAACAATAAATTGTATTTGTGAACTTATGTTCAGCTATTCTTTATAATAGTTAATTTTTGATTATTTTTGAATTTATTTGAATCATCAGTCATCAAAGCTCGATAAATATTGGTCACAGACACTTTAAATTTCACCAAGCTAATTACTCATTAAAAACTCTCATAGATCATGTTTTCATGACATTTTAAATCTTATTTTAATGTATCAAAGTGGTTATATCTAAGTGTGGGATTTGTTTACTCACTTTTTTAAATTAGTCTTCCCATTAACGCCATTATATTATTAATTCGGACTGATTGGTGAACACGCACAGACACAAGAGGCGGGATTTATCGCATGAACCAATCACAGCCGATAATAACCAGTCATATCCAATCATATCGCGATGGAGCCATTGCCTCCTCTCACGTGATTTTCCCCCATTCATTCTCAATTACCCCCCAGCAAATTCAACGCACGCTTTAGAGGGCCTGTTAAAAGTCAATGGGCTCAGGGGAGGCAAGAGAGATGCGGACTCCTGCTGTAACTTTACCTGCTGGTGTCGCTGTTGGACAGTGTTTCTTTAGAAAAACGAATGATTTATATAAGCTGATTATGTAATAACTTGAGGATCTGTCATATGGGTCATTGACATATATAGTAAGAGTCTCCAGAATTAAAATTAGTTTCTTGTGGTCTTGAAAAACTTTTAATTAAAATATTTTCAAGAAAAGTTTTAATTTATTGACTCAAAAAAAAAAAGTTAATAAGCTAAGGTAAAACTAAAAAGTATATTTACATATGTCCCTCCATATTATTTATTCATAAATATTAAAGGAATAGTTGACCCGAAAATGGAAATTTATTGAAAATTAACTCCGCCTCAGGCCATCCAAGATGTAGATGTCTTTGTTTCTTCATTGAAACAGATTTGTAGAAATGTAGCATTACATCACTTGCTCACCAATGGATGCTCTGCAGTGAATGGGTGCCATCAGAATGAGAGTCCAAACAGCTGATAAAAACATCACAATAATCCACAAGTACCAATCCAGTCCATCAATTAATGACTTGTGAAGTGAAAATCTGTTATAATGGATTATGGACTGGTATTTTAAAATGGTTAAAACATTTGAATGATGGATTTGCAAACACGCAGCTTTTCACTTGGATTACTTGTGGATTATTGTGATGTTTTTATCAGCTGTTTTGGACTCTCATTCTGACGGCACCCATTCCCTGCAGAGGATCCACTGGTGAACAATTGATGTAATGTAACATATATTAAAAGATATAGTGACCTCTCTGTGATGTGTTTTTTCTTTCTGCGTGTTGGTTGCGCAACACTATTTTTTGCCAAACAAAAGTTTTAAATAATATTAAGTAGTAAAGCTGTTTTCTTATAAAACAATAATGATAGATTCACTCCTGGTAGACATCCTTTAGGCCATATCTGGGGACCAGAATATCATAGACACTATTTTGATAGGGCTCTTCTGACTTGGACCTGTAAACAACCAGTAAGCAACCGCTTAGCATCATGATGAGTTTTGCACAGACAAACGCCACATACATTTTCCTCAGGAGAATGTAGTCTGAGCAGGATAAGGTCTCTCCACAGAATAATTGGGATCATTTGATGGTGAAGGATTACAGACTTTGCTCCGAGTTAATTTCCATTGATTTAATTGTGTACAGAAGCTTAGAATGATGGGAAGTTCCAGCACCCCTGGCAAACGACACAGTTCATTCCAAACATGAGAAAGAGAAATTCTGCATGCTGCACCATCCATGGGGGGTCAGGAATGCGAGATCTATGCAGGAACTGATGTTTTCGATTTACCGCTGTCTTTACATTCAGATGTTTATGCCATGATAGAGAACAGAGATGGTGACTAGGTTTTGTATAGAAATATAATCCTGGTGTTGCTTCCAGCAGCTTCTGTCTTATAGAAGACAATATATAATGTATAAAAGTGAAAAATCGTTGATAAATAAATGTACTTTCATTGTAGATAAAGCTTTTAACAGAGTGCCACATCATATACAACAAATCATGAATCTGGGACTTTTCGTGAAGCTATAAAACCAATAGCTGTTTTTCCGAGTCATCAGGATTTGACTATTTCCAAGATCCTAATAAAATATAATGTCACTCCCACACCAGTTGATCTTTTTATGCAACAAGTTTTGATTTAATAGCTTTGTCCAGTTTAAATACGACAGTGTCATGTCAGTTAAGAATTTAAAATATGAATTTAGATTGATAATTGAAACTGAAAACGGGCTTATATGAATTATATGAAATATTAAAAGCATATAGAGGAAAACAACTCGAAAGCATTGAAAACCAACTGAATGGAAGCCAAGCCAAAAATAAGCATGACTTCTTTGTTTTTCCATATATAATATGCTTATCCATATTCATTAAGACAAAAATGTGATGCGTGGACATGCAACCAATACTATGACATGTTGTCATGCTTTGGTAATAACACTTATATAACATAGGAAAATAGCAAGTGATGTCATGTTTTGTGCACAATTGGCCAAAGCTCTTTTTATCATCAGTTTGTATACTTCAGTGGTATCATCTAACATCTCGCTGTCTCCGTTTACTCGCAGGACTGCTCCAGCTCAGAGGAATACACTGTAGCCGCCGCCTTGCTGCCCCTGACAACAGCCTTCTACCGGGTAAGTAAGGGTTGAGGTCAGGCTGACAGCAGGCATACTGGCAGCTCTAGTTACTGGATCCTAATCACAGCACATCAACACTGGCACCAGCGTTCATTAAAGCTGGAAGAAGGGAAAATTTCCACCTGTGTCCATCTGCTCAGTTTAACTCTTAAGGCACCGATATACTTCAAGTGAAACTGAAGAACTAACTGCTTAATCCGGCCAAAACAAAGTTTGTTTGGAGTTCATTACGAGAGTATGAAACGGCTTGCCAGTGCAAACTTTCAAAAACGCTTTCAAACATTTATTGATCCATGGCTATTATGCAATATATTCTCTGGTTCATTTCTTCTGTTCAGTCCGTTGAGGTTAGACGTCCACAAGTAAAAACATGAGCACGCCGCAGAGCTGCTTTATAGTAGGGATTGAAATTGAAACTCCAGTTAAAAACAACACTGACATTGTTTATTGTTAAATATTGCAAAGCCACTTGTTTGATAGCAATCTATTGTATAAAGTGCTATATACAGTAAATGAACATGACATTACTTGACTGGAGTGCAGAATTGCATAACTGGTTCAACCATATCCACATCGCTATGATCAGATGCTTTCTTAACTGCTGCTTTCTCACCTTTTTCTCAGTCTTATTTGACTATAATAATAGTAGTACTACTACCACTAATGACTATTAATATTAAATAAAATATTAAACAAAATAAGAAATATTGCTATTGCAATATTTCACTGTAGAAAAAGTGTTTAGGAAAAATAATAAAATGCATTTATTTTCAGAATACATCTGTAAAATTACAGTACTAATACACTGAAAAATATTTGGTAGGATTCACTTTGAAATAATTTTCACTCAGAAATTGTACTGTCAAGGTGCTCACTAACAGTAACTCTAACCGAGCTTCGCTGTGAGTATATTCAGACTTTGTGATCCACTCCATTCAGCCCATCGTTGAAGGAAACCACTAAGAAGCGTGACAGTCACTCTAGCCCAGTTCAGTTTCACTGTGGTACAGGGAGAAAAGGGGGTGGTAAGGGCTGCGGGGATTTGGAGAGTGTCTGGCTTTCAACATGGATCCATCACATGCCCACATTATTGTTGTCATAGAGACAGACATAACTGACTGTGTTGCTTTTTAATTGTGGACTGCTCTGCGATTTGTCTGCAGTGAATCACAGTGTGCACAGAAGACATGTGATGTAATGTGATATAGCATTGGAGACCCTAATGTTCGTTTGTGGGATAATAGCCTTACACACCTAACTGTAACACTATACATTGAACATTTGCTTGGTCAACGTAACCCAAACTATTAGTGATAAGATTGTTTCTCCCATCCAGGAATTGGTTTAAATTCCTTTGGGATTGGAATGAGCTGCAGGAAACTGCCACTCAAAAAATAACGGTTTGCAGTTTATCAGAAAGTACTGTCAGAAAGACTTGCACTTGAAAAGAACTTGAATTTCATACCTTGAAGAGGTTAAATCGAACTTCAGATCTTGATGTCAGGACATTGCAGGTAGTTGCCCAGGAGTTGTAAGCACACTGTTATGCACTTGCAAGGGCATTCTAAATGGTTGCTAGAGCATTACAGTGGTTGCGTACTGGATAGGGCTGCACGATGTAGGTGAAAAATCTAATTGCAATCGCATTTTTATCAGAAAAAAAAAAGACAAAAAAACAAACTGCAATTTAAAATGTTATATTTAAGTTCCAGGTTTGCTGTGCTTATTTGTAGGGCTGCACAATTTTGCCAAATATATCAATATGACTGTAATAATAATAATTATTATTATTATGATTATTTTATTATTATTGTTGTTGTTGTTACTATTAAATATTAAACAGACTTGTACACTATTGTAATATTTCACTGTGGAAAAATAATATAATACGTTTTTTTTTTTTACTGTAAAAAAAAAGTTATAGTATTTAATTGAAACTATTTCCACTCAGAAATTGCTAGCAAATTTCACATATAATTACAAAGCAGCAGGTAACGTGAAATATTTAAGTTAAAAAAATGAAATCGTATTTTCTTGTAAAAAATATTCTCCAACACTCTTACATTTTTAATTAAAAAATAATAATAATTACAGTTTTACAGTGTATTTATGGCTGTCTTAATTCTATCTATCTATTGTCATGCTTTGGTTATCTATCTATCTATTATCTATCTATCTATCTATCTATATTTATCCATCATCTTTTTATTTACTTATTATTCATTCATTCATTCATTCTATTTTTCATTATGTTAAACTACCAAGCTCTTAATTTTGGCAGAAACCACAGGGTGCCCATAAAGCTTATCTTTCGGTTTCTAAGCACTTTTTATTACAGGTTTGGGAAGATGGTTGGCGCATGTTCAAATGCATATTAAAAGCATCCCAAATTCACATTAAGACCAAAACTTGCAGCCCCTGTAGAGATGAGTTCATGTGTGCACTGAAAAAACTGAATCATGAGCTGCACGCATGTAAAAGAGCAAAATGTTGGGCTTCTCTCTTCAACACGCAGTTCATATGTAAGGAATAATTGAAGACAGGCGTTTAAATTAATTGAAAAATAATGCACACCCGAAGTGGTAGTCCAAATGATCTCAGATGCTCTTTTACTGTGACACTGAAAACACTGAATCATTAGCTGCACGCATGGAAAAGAACAAAACGTTGTGTAACACACACAGTGCTGGATAGTTACAGTTTAAATTTAATACTCAGGGTTAGTAGTTTGTTCACATGCAACTGAGCACCATTAATTAGTTGTAGAGATAAGTATCCGAAATGTTTCCGCAGTCATTCTTCATTTTAATTGATGAGATGCACCTTCCACAAACCGTTTTGGAGAGCTGAAAATTCCGTGCATTGAGGCAAACAATTCAAGTCTTTCATTAAGGCATCTGAAAGCTATTTCTTCAAACCTTTTTCTGTTTTACATTTGCCATTTTTATGTAAGAGCCAATCCTGATTAAAGCATTACGCTAAAATGAGCTGACAGTCAGATTTGTGAAGCCCTCATTCTAGCAATCTAGCATTCACGTATCACCTGAAATCAATTCAAACCCCAGCAAGATGCACTTAAAATGCTGTGCAGTTGCTTTAATCTGCATTCAGGGCTATCCTTAGATTATCCCTGTGTAGCACCACAATTAAACCCTCATGCATTTTTCCATGAGTCTGTGATCCGCATGCCCTCCCCTTCACTCCCAGTAGCCTTGTACTAAACCACACTGCATGTTATTGAGGTTCTCAGTGCAGGCTTGGCAGGAGAGAAAGGCTTCCCACTACTCTACATAAGGATGACCCAACTGAAGTATGGACATTACCGCAGACACACTAGAGCTCAATGTAGCCTTTGCATTCTTGAAGAGCAAGTGTGATCTCTTAATAATAGCACAACTCTTCTCGACAAGCTGCATGATTCAAGGTATCATTCATAGTGCAAACGGCTGAATATGAATGATCAATGACTTATGCATCTGGGATAAGGGTTTGTTCAAATCCCTAATCCTAAGTATGAGTAACTGCGATACTTGTCTTAGCAAATAGGGCTGCACAATTAATTGAATGTCTAATCGTGATTACAATTACAGATGCCACAATTACTTTAGCGAAGCGGCAATCAATTGTTCAAAGTCCACTTATGTTATTCTGCATGCTTAAGATGTGTTTTTTTTTCTTTCTACAGGTGATCTTAAGGGTTTTCCCATTGTTTTAATTTTAGTTTTAGTATAACATTATAGTACCATGCAAATTTTAACTTTTTTTATTTAAATATGAAACCAATCCAATATAGTTGACATTTGAGGCTTATATAAGCAATAAAAGTTTTTCAGTTAGTGTTTTCAGCTTGTTTATTTTCATATAAAAATATGGCATGCAGTTACGTCAAACAATGGTGTAAACATCATTCAATCAATGTAAATTGTGTTAATCGTAATTAATAACCGCAATTACAATTTCAAGGGAAAAATCGACAATTATGATTTTTGTCATAATCATGCAGCCCTATTAGCAAACACCTTTTCTTTTTTACCACTGGGCCAAAGGAACTCAAAGACTCGACCACAAAGTCAAATAAACAATTCCCACAAAGATCCGCTCAATTTACAAGCTCATTGTTCCGCCGCTTGAGAATGCTGTTATGCCATGGATACCTCCAAGTCACCTCAAATGGAGATTTTGTAGGACGAAAAACAACTTATGCCGTCTGGTGACACCTGATACATTTTTACGTTCCTTGTGAGAACTCATGCGCTCTCACACACACGGTCAGTTTTGCCATAGCAGGTCAAAAGGTTTCTCACTAGTGATCGGCATGCATCTCATTTAGCCTTTGAGCTCTGATTCATTCTCTGTCTTCTGGGAAGTGCGGAGGCTCCAGGCATTTAATTGATCTTTAATAAGCAAGGTCATTGAGATGCTGGCCAGTCATTCACAGACCATCACTCAAATAGAGCCTCCCTGCTCATTGAACAGTTAAAAATGAAATGTAAAGACTGTTTACATGTGTTATTGTAGGAGATGTTTGGTATGGACAAAATTAGGTCAGAATCTGGCTTTTGTTATTTATTGCATTTGGGTACTTAAGTTTTGAGCATCAAATAATTTGTTTGTGATAAGTCATAATCACATCCATTCAAAACACATTTTATGTTTAATAATAATTAAAATTTTAATAATGATAACAATTTGGAGCAGGATTTTAGGTCAGTGAGATTTCAAAGTGCCACAGTAGTCCTGTTCATACAGCTGTCAAAACGTCCTGTTGCTCGTCATTTGTCACTGTTGCACTTGTGCACAGTAATTTCAGTCATAAAAATAGAATTGTGGTGCAGAATGTGGTGATGTGGTCTGTGAATATTAAAGAGCAAACAGAAATCTGTTATTGAAATATGAAGTGTAAATGAGCGGCACAGTTTTGTCTGCTACACAAATACTCAAATACTGTAAAGCCGCCTTTCCACTATCTCCAACAAACGACAAGCGATAGACCGGAAGTCATTCACTTCCAATGGAGAGTAGTGTGGGAACTACGTGGACCTCCGATCATATGTGTATATGGAAATTTCGGATCCGATTTGAACTTCGGATGCATTCAAATATTTGAACTTCTACGGCTAGACCATATTCGACCGCTCGACTGGATGTGATGTATTTTAATCAAAACTATGAGTGCGAGGTTAGAATTACCAATATTTTTTCCACTTTAATGCTATTCTGTAAACACAATTTCTGTAAAATTGCGGTTTATTATGGCAGAAATAATAATTTTATCATTATTAACGTTGATTAGCCCCATAAAACCTACTGTGTTTTTATATGGGGGGGTCATTTGTTTTGTGTGGATATATTCATACATTCATTATAGTCATTAAAGTCATTCATTTTACCATGGTGAATAAGCCGAGGGTAACAGTTGCTTCACAAGCAGTTTGAAAGTTCTGTGCGACTGCCGCTAGGGGGAGAAATGCGACAATCGTATCCAAATGTCGGAGACCGTTGAAAGGCGGCTTAACCCTTGCTGCTTTTTCAGCATCTGCCATCGCACTATATGAGGACATGAAAACATAAACTTCATCTCCAGAGCTGCCCTGAGAGTCACATCAGCACTTTTAACATTTCGTTTGATAAAAACTATTGTCATATCATATACACATAAAAATTGAAAGGGTAGGGTTTTATGACCACCTGTCAAAATAAAAGTTTGGTTTGACTTGCATTTAATGAACTTGTGACAGAAATAATATTATTATTGCACAGAATGTACTTCTCAAAGTAGTAGTAGTAGTAATAATAATAATATAATTATAAAGCTTTATTTTTACAAGGATTGTTTTCATTTTAACAGCAAACCTCTGTTGTGCAGCACTTTGTTTACAAAGAAATTAATTTGATTGTTTTAAAAGATTAAATTGTTAATGTGTTATATCTTCATTAGATTACCAGCGTTTTTGGTCATATTTTGTATATATTTGATAATGTTTGTATTTAATCATAAATCGTGAATTATTAAATTGTTTTATGAATTCATTTGATTAGACATGCGTCTTGATTATAAAAATTCAATAAAAACCATTAAAACAAAATCTAGAAAAATTTTAACATAAAACACGGAATTTGGGGGAAATAAAATGGAATTTAGGGATATATAATTTCATGAATTTCATAGTGCCCTAAAATGTCATTTTGTTAAACTTTTCATAAATTGCTAATTTGGATAAGTTTCATGATTTCAATTAATTACACATGCTTTTTTTGCAACAAATCAGTCCTGATCTATACTTGTTCCGTTACTTAGATGTATGTATTTATATATTTACATAAATGCACGAATACATTTATTCTCCTTCATGCCATCTTCAATCCTAGCAAGTAAGGCACCTTGAAAAACGTATGATATGATGGCCCCTATAAACATCTGCTTTATGTGTATGTTCTTGTACTTGCGAGAATATGAGAGGGCATCCTCAAGTTGCTGTGCTTTGCACTTTCACTTGGTTAGCTGGCTCATTGTGGCACTTCTCCAGCACATTGTCATCTTTCCCAGAGGGCTACGCTGTTCTGTAGTCAAGGTCTGCATGCCACTGGACATGGGAACATACTCAACATGCTCTCTTTCGGTGAGCGATCTGTTTGCATTTGAGTGAATATTCAATCTCAAAACATTAACCCACTCTTGACCGAGATCGTCAGGTGTCATTGTTGCTGCGCTGTGAATTTATGTCTACTGTGATGCCTAGGAAGGTTGTAGATCTTTCAGGAACTTGCTTTGTTCTGTATGTGCACCTGTAGCATGTTTATGAGTGTATGACATCCTGTACCAGTGTAGTCTGTCCTGAGATGTTGATAGTAGTGTTTAAAGTCGCCCTTCTCTGCTCATTCTTTGCTCGTATTCTAATTTTTAAAACAGAATAACATTAATGTTCTTTTCATAATAAAAGTAACTCATTACTTTACATAGTTACTTTTATTGAAAAATGACTAGAGAGAGACTGCATTTATTAGTTCTTGTTACCAGTAAACCTACGAGTACAGATTTTCTGAAATGTTATGTTTAAATGCAAATGAGGCATCATCTAATTAAGTATGCACTAATTTGCATAAATGTCTAGAACAAAGATATGAACATTGGATGAAGCCAGATTAAAAATTATTGTTTCATTTTGTTGACAATATTCGAGTCAAAGGTTTTTACAGAGAGGATTTCTCTTTTCATCACTCCATAAATCAGAAAATACTGTCAACAGCCCAAAAAAATATATAAATAAATATATATATTTTTTTAATTTAAGGAATAAAATGTATAAAATCAGGAGAAATACATATGAACAAATCCCTCTGTAAAAACCCTCAAAATACAAAAAAGTTTGGTGTATGCAAGTGCTGCTGAAGTCAAGATTTTTAGCTCAGTGCAGGAGAAAAAATAAATTTTCCTTTAAAGATATGAATTGTAATTTATTCCACAGACAATATGAAGTCCTATAAAAGAAGCACTTAGGCCTAACAGTGTATTTTGGATGTTTTCTTTCCATTAGTCTGAAAGAAATACTTTTAAAAAAATCTAAAAATTGAGAGATGCATGAAAAAACAGGCAAAGTAGTGTCTCAGCTTAAAACCTTAACCAAATCCAAAAATATATACATTAAAATATAGCTCTATATATGCCATATGACAATAGGAGTGATCCAGTTTTGACCATCGCACCACTTGCACAGTAGACTGCGTCACACGCACTGCATAGATCCACGTGACTGTATTATGGGAAAGGGAGAGATTTTCCGTAGTGTTTGTCAGTAAATAATGTTATGTCTGTATTTGTTATGTAAAGTATCGGGTATCTG